GGCTAATACTCAGCCCAGGCATCTGCGAGCCGTAGAGGCTCGTAGAGTAGGGACTTCCGCTGCCTAGAAGACCTCCACCGACGCCTCCGCCACCACCGCCTCCAGCCATGCTGCTGGCGAGACTGCTGCCCAGACTGCCGCCGGCCATACCACCAAAGGGCGTGTATCCGTTGCCTCTGAAGAGTGAGCCCATGGCCGGGTAGCCGATGGTGATGCTGGTGCCAGCGCCAAACAGACTCGCCAGGGGACTGTTCGCGGAGATCGTTCCAGTTGGTCCAGCTGGTCTGCCACCTGCAGCGCCGACGCCGAGCATGCTGCTCAGTCCACCGCCGTGATGATGGTGACCACCACCACCACCACCACCAGCACCACTTCCCATCATTGAAGTGCCCATCATTGAGCTGGCAGCACCCATATGACCTTCTCCTCCTCCGCCGCCGCCGCCTGACTGCAATCTCGCGGCGAGCATTGCCAGCTGTTGTCGGTAGGCGATGGTCTGCGCGATAGCCTCCTGCAACTGCTCAGGAGTCGGTGTCGGCTCGGAGCTCGAGGTGGAGGAGGAGGTGGAGGATGATGCTGAGTCTTCCTCACTTCCGCTGCTGCCGCCGCTGCTGCTGCTGCTGCTGATGCTGCTGGCGGCGGCCGAGGAGCCGATGTCGCCATTAGCTAGTCCACTTCCTCCTCCGTCCTCTTCCCCGCCGGCCGCCGGACTGCCGTAGTAGCTGGAGTACAGCGAGGAGAGGGAGGCGGCGGAGGGACTGCTGCTGCCCATACTGCCGTCGCCGCTGCCATAGGCACCGCTGTAGACGCCATTTGCGCCGGCCATCCCTCCTCCACCGGCGCCTCCACCAATGCTAGCGCTGTACAGCGCTCGGTACTGCTGCAGGGCGGCCAGCTGCTGGTACAACAGCGCCACCTGCAGCTGCTTCGTCAGCTTCTCTGTCTCCGTTTCCGGTTTGGGTGTGACGGTGCTGCTGTTGTTTCGATTGGAGGAGGACGCCTTTAGGAGACGGTCTCGGAAGGAGAGCAGCGCCGAGGTGGGCTTGGGCGTCGTCGTGGAGGGCTGGTTGTGCGCGAAGGCGCTGTAGGCGTACGGTGAGGCGGTGTTGGCGATGGAGGAGGCGGAGGAGGCGCTGCTGCTACTTCCGGTGTAGTAGTTGGAGACGGGCATCATGTAGGGAGAGTACAGGGACTGGGGAAGGGAGGAGAAGGAGGAAGGTGATGAAGGTGGTACGGGCAAAGACAGGTGAATGGGAGTTAGGTAGTTTGGGGGAATGGTGTAGTTCAGGGGAAGGGGAAGGAGGGAGGAGGAAGACTATTGTGGTTAGACATGAGGTTAAGTTAAGGGAGTTCAAATATTTTTAGCACACACACATTTTCACACTGGTTATCAAAGTAACCTAAGGGACATGCAATTTGCTTTGGCAAGCCTGCTCACCTGTTTGTTTGCGTAGTTAAAGTACGATGGTGTGGGTTTGTCGTAGCCGGAGAAGAGGCTGAAGCTGTTTGGCTTGAACATGCTGGAAGCGGATTGAAGTTTCTCTGCAACCAAAGTTGTGTTAGGTTAAAGTTGTAATAACAAAAATTGTTGCTCAAATAGCATTGCAATAGTAATCAGAATTGATTTTCTCAAATGAATTCTGATTTTTCCATGCATTTTTGCAAAATAATAGCAACCGCTGCTTATTGTTAAAGTAAGCTATTTTACCCGTATATTTGGAGGGATCCGTTTTTGAACTGCTAGAGAAAGCGGAAAAGTGTGCTGGCTTTTGGCCGGCCGTCAGCGCGGCAATACTGGCCGCGTAGTTGTTGCTGTTAGTTGCACTGATCACCGGCACTGACTTTTCCGATGATTGGGAGGAGGAAGAGGCTGAACTGCTGCTGCTGTTGTTTTCCGCTGAGCCAAACAGCTGTACCGAACCTGACTGTTGTGCTCGGACGGTGCCAAAGATGATGCCGGAGACGACGAGCACTCCGGCGATGAGGGAGAAGAACATGAGGGAGAGACTGCGACAGAGCGACATGGCTAGGGGGCCAATTTTAGGAGAATGATGGCGGTGATGAAATGGGTGTTGAGTGGTGGTGGCGGCTGGTGCTCGGAAGACCACTCGACTGCTGTGCATGTCGGAGAGCTCAGAGGAGCTCACAGGGGACCAAAGAGTGACTGTTGTGCCACCAATGATGACCATAAATAAAAAAAGTCACTTTTTGTTAATCACTAAACTGTAGGGCATCTGTGTGACTGTGTAACTGGTGCATAAAACAGAAGTTTTGGCTGTTGTAATATGAGAACACTATTTGGAAAAACAAAGTAAAAACAAGTAACATTAAAAACCAAATGAGAGGTCTTTACTGGAGGAAAAAGTTGGCATGCCGGACATGGGAAGCCTTTATATACGCTGGGCAATGACTTCTTGGTTGGTCGTCTGGTCAGTGACAACCAGCACCACCACCAGCAGGACTGGCCGATGATCCGTCAGCACACACACACACTTGTCAAGCACACTCTTTCAGTTCCCGTTTTTCACTTTTTCCTCTGTTACAATTTTTTTTGCTGAGATTACTTTCGGTGATATTACCCGTACTTTGGAAGCGTTCACTTTCTGACCACTGTCATTTGTGTGACCACTCTCTCTCTCTCTCTCTCTCTCTCTCTCTCTCTCTCTCTCTCNCTCTCTCTCTCTCTCTCTCTCTCTCTCTCTCTCTCTCTCTCTCACTTCTGCTCAATCGTCGACCAACTGACTACTGTCTACTGTCCGATTTTTACACTAATGCAGTTGCCCGAAAAAGTAGTCAAATTTTAGCGTAAACCAGCGTCAGCAACGGTGGTGGTGATGATGATGATGATGGCGGTGGTGGTCATCAACTGGTCACAGTTGGCCAGTTGACCACTTCAACTCCAAACGGAGTTATAAACTTTTATCAGCACAGTCTGCTGACACCTGCTGCACTTAATGCTCAGTTGATCACAATTAGTGAGCGGCGGCGGAGGTGGTGGAGGTGGTGGTGGAAGGCAAAGCAGAGCACTCAGTACAATCAAACCTGAGCACAGTAAAAGTGTGTGAGCTAAGTGAAAGGAAACCAGATCAGCACCAAAGATAGAGTCACCGCTATTTATTCTTCTTTCCTGCAGCATTCATTACAAAGTTTGCAGTTTAAAAAAGCGTTAGACAAACGTGCTGGTGTTGGTACGTGTACTGTGCTTCTGCTTCTTTATTAAATGCACTCATGTTTTAAATGATTGTTTCATAATTGGGGCAGGCGAAAACAAGTGCAACAACATTGCCACTTCGTCTTCATTCATATGTATCAAATTTTAAACGTGGTTTGCGCTAAAATGAAAGTTCAGCCGTTTCTAAACTTAAGTTTTGACCACTGCTTTTGTCTTGTGTGTATTGAGTAAATTGTCTACAATTTTGCTAGCAATGGCAAATGCACTAATTAACTAAATGACTAATCATTTGACTAAAAATGCACTTGGCAGAATTATATATGAACTTGTTCTAAATTTACAGTTGCACTTAAAATCATTTGCATTTTTAAGTTTAATAACTTTCAATTTTTTAATGAAACATACTGAATTAAACACAAACAATGAACTTTCAATTTTAATACAAAAAACAATTTTTAATTACTTGTAAACATGATTTTTATATCAAATATTTGTTTTCATTTTGTATTTAAAATAATCAAGTTTGTTTTTACAATTTTTACAATTTCCATAATTTACACGCATGTGAAACAGCAAAAACCAATTTAAAATAATTTATTTTTAGATATTAAAACACATTGATTAATAATAAATTGCAGTATTGAAAAACAGAGTTAAAATCTCTACTATTTATGCAAATATTAGGAAGTGCAAATACTACTTTCAATTGCTTTTTGTTTGTCTTTAGTTTCCTGTATTTTCTCATTTCAAGTTGCACATTTTTAGAGTTTAGTACCGACTAGACAGTCAGTTTAGTCAGTCGAGATTGCGCACCCTGTAAAGTGTGTCGTAAATCTGTTCAGCACCTCTGAGATCACCTTGTAGAGTTGTCATTTTTGTCTTTTTTCTTCTTTTGCTTTCTTTATCTTTGCTCCCCTTACTTCTCACTGACCACTTGTCGCGCCGGGTTGACTTTTCCGTTGTTGTTGCTGTCGTCGTCGTCGTCGTTGTAAAAGACACAGTGCACAGACTCGCAGATGCGCTTCGCTGGCCAAATTCGAGTTTGTGCTTTTGTGCACTGTGGCACTTCAATTGCCGCTGTGACTGCTGCAAATGCTGTAATAAAGACGCAGTCAAAATCTTCTGCGCGCTCAAATGTTTAGACTTTTCATAACTTTCTTACATTATAAAGGACAGACATATTCATAAACATTGCGCTAAGCGGTAATTACAAAATTCAGAGCATTTAATTTTAATTAGCCATTCCAACGTTTGCTAAATTTAATATCAATATCAATTGTTCAGACATCCGTTTGTTGTTTATACCAGACTACACAGTAAACTACAGTGTGTATTTATAATCACAGCAAAAACGTAGTTTAAAAAATACCAAAATTTGTTGTCCTAATCTAATTAATTAGTATTCAAGGTGTTTCCTTCAACTTGAAAACAACCGAAACAACTTCACCGATTGACTTTGCCGTCAACGGCAGTACAGTATTTTAGAGCATTCAAGCACCTGCAAGACACAGTGATGTGTACGTAGGCACTAGTGATAGTTAAATGCACCATTATTTTACTGCCCCTATACTTGCTGACTGACTGCTTGCAGAGGAAGTGCGCACAGCTAAAACGTATGCACAAAAACACCTGACTTTAGCATAGTTTTGGTGGTTGGCTGTGACTGTTGGCTGCCGACTGTACAGACTCAAACTGACTGACTCACTGGCTGATTGTCACCACACAAACTCACCTGTTGTTTGCTCAAAGTTCGGTCGTTTGCGGTGTTTTTCAGCAGCACAACTTACCTTTCCTACCAAAAACAACAACACCACCACCACCACAGCACTCACCGTTCTTTCTTTCCTCTTTTAAATTTTTCTTCAAACACTACAAAGGGCAACAGCGTCAAAAAGGTGTGTAGACTATATTTTACTCAAAACAGTCCAAAGTTCAGTACGTAAGTAAATGCTCTCTGCTCGATGATTTGCTGCAAATCCAATTGATTTTAGCTGCAAACTCAATCGTTGTGTCAGCCGACCGGCCAACTGACTAACTGACTGACTGATTTTTCTCTCTGTCTCACGTTCTTTTTGTTCTTTCTGCCGTTTCGGTAGCCAGTCATAAGTTTTTGAAGTTTTTAAAGAGAAAACATACCCGTTAGACAATAAAACCACCACCACTACTACCACTACCGTTAACTGGTATTTTGGCGGATTACATTGTCACCGCAATCTCTTTTTCTTCAACCACCACCACTACAACAATTGCACAACAATTGAGCTGCAGCGCTGGCTACTACTGTTTTAATGCTGCTGGTGCTGCTGCTGATTTTCTATTCTTCTTCTTCAGTGAGCGTTTCCATATATTTTTCCCCTTTCGGTCCTTTTGCTCCCTTTTTTTGTGTTTTTACCTGAAAAAATACAAAAAGAAGACTAAAAACAGAAGGAAAACAATAAAACCGCAAAAGTAGCAAGTGCAGCACAAGTTGCAAGAGTTTGAGCTGCGTCTGCGAGTTTCACAAGCTCAGCTAAGCTCAACTCAAAGAGAAAAACAACTGTCAGGCTAGCAGAACAGCAGAAAATTTGACCAGTGCCAATGCTAACTGTGTGACATCAAGTGCGGCAACAAAAAACAACACAAAATAGAAAACAGCACTAGATAGAAATGCTTTGCTCACCGACGTGTCTAACAGAGTCGAACTTGTTGAAGTTTTAAGAAAAACATTTTTTTCTGAAAATACATTCCATTTTCATTGGCACATAAAAATTTCACCATGACAAAAGTTACTGCGATTTTTTTTAAACAAAAATGCATATAAAAAATTGTTCATCAACTCAGCACTTTCAGTCCGAGATGCAAAGCTTATTCACGACAATTATTTTTTATACAAAAATTACTCATCGAAGTCAGCTTTACTCAAATGTTTCGTAAAACGGAGTTAAAATTTTTGTTTGTGCTCAACCAGGCAATGTATTTCTGATTAATTTTTAAACTTTTTTTATGTTGTTTTACGTTTT